CTCCCATGGGGCCTTAAAAAAGGAGCAGAGGGTATTGTGTACCAAATTTAAAAAAGACTTCAAAAACATTTTGAAAAATGGCAACTCCCGATATGGAAAATTTCAAATGGAGTCCCAATTTTTAAAAAGGGAAAACAGACATGAGGGACAAAAATAAAGACCTGTATCCTTTAAAGGGTATAGATGCAAGGGCATGGAGAAATCACAGAGGGGAGTGGGGGGCACCTAAAGAAAAAAAGTGTATAAAAACAACCACAAAGGGGTTTAAGGGGAAAGGGAAAAAACCTTTTTCCCCAAACCTACTAAGTTTAAAAGACAAGGGGACAAAAAGTAAAGGGCAAAAGAAAAGGGGGGGGGATTCGGGCTGGTATTTTTGGGCGCAAGAAGGGGTTCGACACAGTTTCCCACCAAAGGGGTTTCTGCAAAAGCTTGAGGGCCAGGCCACATAACAAAAAAGCACTGCAAATGGGTCAGAAATAAACTGACCCGGGGGGGGAAAAAACGGGTTCCAAAGGAACCCCCAAATTCAAGTGGGCGCCGTACAACGGTTTCCCCCAGGGGCATCCAGGGCCTGTGCTTTTTCTTGGTTTTTACGTTTAACGACATAACGAAGGGGTAGACCAAAGTTCCTTGGGGGGCAACTTTTGAAAATTAAGAAAGAAAACGAAACGGGAAAAGAAAAAAGCAGGGGGCTACAAAGGAAACGGGGCAGGCAAAAAGCCCTGGGCCAAAACTGGGTCCAAAATTTAACCCTGCCAAAAAAAGCAAATCATGAAAAAATTGGGGGAAAGGGGAAAAAAGAAACCCCAGAAAACCCAAAATAGTTTTTGAGGCCAAAGACGCAAACCCCCACTAAAGGAAAAAAAATCTGGGGGGAAATATAACACCGACATATCTCCTGAGGGGCACATCCCAAACAGATAACTCTGAGCAATACGGGGGCCCCGGCAAAACCCACGGGTACTTCCCGTACCTCATAAGGGTTCGTTTTAAAAACTCTGTTTCACCATCTACTCAACCCATACTGGATTAGCCACCATTTGGGAATCCACACCTAGCCCAAACACTCCAAAAAATTTGAGAAAGGGGCAAAGGTTTGCAAAAAGACTAGTCCCAAAACTACGGGGATTGGGCCCATAAAAAAGGAGAGGGAAAAACGGCCCCGACGACACTGGGGGCCCGGGGGGGGGCAGGGGGGAAAAAATGATAACGACATAAAAATTTTTTTCGCGGGAAAAGACAGGAAAAAGACGGAATGGTTTCCCAAAATGGGCCCCAGACACAAAGGGGGCACAAATTTGGGAAATTGAAGACTCCGATAATCAAAGGGGATGGGTTTGGGAAAAATAAATTTTTTCAGTCATAGAGTAGTCAGGGCCGTGAATCCTAGAAAAAAGATTGGGGGAGGCAGGGAAACCCTACATAGTTTTAAGGCAAAGGAAAGATAAAACTCATGGGGCAGGGAAAAGGAAAACCTAGTCAAAACAACGAAGAGGGGGGGCCCAAGGGGCTGTGACTCGACCCCTGCAACCACAAATAGGGGTAAAAAAATTTTGTGAGCAAAAACCCCCACCCACACACACACCACACATCATCATCAAGGGGAAGGAAATGCTTTAACACCCGGAAAAAAACAAGTTTTAGAATTTTACAACCCCGCGCGGTTTCAGGGAAAAAAATTTCCCGTGTCACAAACCTACTGGAGTTTTATGACAAAGGGTGACAGAAGTAAGAAAAAGAGAGAGAGAAAGGGGGGGATCGACCCGTATTTTTTTGGAAATGCAAGAAGGCCTTCGACACAGTTTTCCCCCCAAGAGGTTACTGCAAAAAACAAAAAGGGTCAGGCACACATACAGGAAAGGCCGCAAAGGGGTCAGAGAAAACCGACAGGGAGGGGACAACGATTTATTTGGGGACTGACAGGTTTCGAGTGGGGCCCTGTGACAACGGGGGGCCACAAAGGGGTAGGGCCTAGGACCTTGCTTTTTCGGGGAATGAAGGGCATAACAAAAAGGGATTTTGGGCAGAAATGCCTTGTTTGCAGAGATGTGAAGTTAATGAAAGAAATAAAATCGACGAGGAAAACAGGCAGGCTCCCAAAAGACCTGGGCAGACACAAACCCCCGGGCCACAACGGGGTCCTTGGTTTAACCCCCCAAAAGCAAAGTAATTTTTAAAATTGGGAAGGGGAAAGAAGACCCCTGACACAATAAATTTTAGATGGGCCAAAAACTGCCCAAAACCCCACTTTAAGGAAAAAAACTGGGGGTGAGTTTAAAAACCGAGCAATATCTCCTGAGGCACACATCAACCAGATAACTGCTGCAGCATAGGGGCGTCTGGCAAACCTACGGATAGCATTCCGATACCTCAGTAAGGAATCGTTCAAGACTCTGTATACCATTTACGTCAGGCCCATACTGGAGTATACAGCACCAATTTGGAATCCACACGTGGTCAAGCACGTCAAGAAATTAGAGAAAGTGCAAAGGTTTGCAACAAGACTAATCCCAGAGCTAAGGGGATTGTCCTACGAAGAAAGGTTGAGGGAAATCGGCCTGACGACACTGGAGGACAGGAGGGTCAGGGGAGACATGATAACGACATATAAAATACTGCGCGGAATAGACAAGGTGGACATAGACGGGATGTTCCAGAGATGGGACGCAGAAACAAGAGGTCACAATTTGAAGACTCAGATGAATCAAAGGGATGTTAGGAAGTATTTCTTCAGTTATAGAGTAGTCAAGAAGTGGAATAGCCTAGAAAGTGACGTAGTGGAGGGGGGAACCATACATAGTTTTTTAAGGCGAGGTATGATAAAGCTCATGGAGCAGGGAGAGAGAGGACCTGGAAGCAATCAGTGAAGAGGCGGGGCCAGGAGCTATGACTCGACCCCTGCAACCACAAATAGGTGAGTACACACACACACACACACACACACACGCACGCACACACACACAAAACACACACACACACACACACACACACACACACACACACACGCACACACACACAGGGGCCAGGAGCTGAGTCTCGACCCCTGCAACCACAATTAGGTGAGTACACACACACAACTTTAAGAAGAGGTACGATAAAGCTCATGGAGCAGGGAGAGAGTGAATTAGTGTCGACCAGCGAAGAGGAGGACCAGGAGCTATGACTCGACCCCTGCAACCACATATAGGCAACTACTCAAACAGAGGAAGTAACAAGGTGGACAGAGACAGGATGTCAGAGATGCGACACAGCAACAAGGGGCTACAGTTGGAAGTTGAAGACATAGATGACTCACAGGGATGTTAGGAAGTATTTCTTCAGCCACAGAGTTGTCAGGAAGTGGAATAGTCTGGGAAGTGACGTAGTGGAGGCAGGATCCATACATAGCGTTAAGTTTACACCCGGAACTCCACGCGTTAGAGTATATAAGAAATATCTGGTTGAGCATGAAAGGTAACTGGAGTGTTTTTGAGAAGACATACACTATGTAAAACCTCAATGCACATAAAAGGCCCAAAAATCTGGAATTACCTGTGAATACAAAATACTGTTTGTTTATCAATTCAAGATTCTTCTTAAAAACCACTTGCTCACCCACAACTAAATAAATATTGAATAACTGTGTCTCATGAATGTATAACTGTGATCCTATCAAACTATGTTTTTAATTACATTACCTAATAGAATACTCCATTCTCTTGAATGATCATTAACTCGTATAATGACCATATGACCTGTTTCTGCTCTACAAATCATTGATTTTATTCGACTTGATCGGATTAATAAATTGTATGACTATATATAGATATTGATCATTTTCTTATACATTGTTCTGCTACAAATTTTACAACTATAATGCTTCTTAATTGAAATGTTCAAATTTCATTGTTTAAAATACTCATTTGTACTTCTTATTGTAAATTGTTTACAGTAATTTTTACCATGAATATATCATTGCTTGTTAATCTAAAGTTAATTTTAAGCCTGCCCATATGCTCTGCATACAAGGGGCTTTTGGCATGTACACCCAACTACTATAATCCATTGTATAACTATGTATCATGTCCAAATAAAATTATTATTATTATTTGTGGAAAATACTGTATATATTTTCCAGAAATTCAGTATTTATATGTAAATAGATGGCCATACTGTATTTAATAATATTTATGTCATAAAAAACGGAAAGCCTGCGTCTGCGCAGACGGGTCTCGCCATCTTGGTTTTGAATTTTGTACAAACGTTAGTGTAATGGGAAGAATTTTTCGTGCTCTAGAGGTTAAAATTGTGTTGACACCTCTCAAATAGGTGACGAAATTGGTGGATGTGCATTCCTGCATACCTTGAGATATCAGACGACTGGACAAGACAGCTCCAGGAACCTCAGATAAGCTCTCTAGATTTGTGTGTAATTCTGGCCAGCATTATTTTCATAGATTTAGTTAGAGTGAGGTTTTCTGAGTATGATACACATTAATCTCCAGTCAAATTGGTGAGTGATATTAAGATATATTTCCTTCTGTTATGTAATTGTGTGTATATATATATAAAATATATATAAAATATATTATATATTATATATATATATATATATATATATATAACATTTATTATTTTTAATTAACAGTCCACAAATTTATATATTTACCAGTATTCCTGGTGATGTATATTTAATTTAATTAATAGGTCCCAGAGCAACTTGTGGTTATGACAGTGATAGGTATCGAAGGGGACATTTTTTGCGACCTGGTGTCCAATTTCCTACTTGTCTATGTAACATTGATAAATAATAATTATTTTTGTTATCATTTACTGTTATGTACATAATTAGTTACATTCAGATAAAAGCAATTTTCACATTATTATTATTATTATTATTATTATAAAATGAATCAACTACATTCGTGAACTGAAAAAAAAACACTTTCAGAAAGTGTTGGGTTGTAGACGTGGTCCAGGAGCTGCGGCTACCGTCTTAAGTCATAACTAGGTGAACACAACTATGAACACAACCTGTAGGCGAAGATGGCGAAGAACGAGGCGGTGTCCAGTGGAAAGGCGAGTCTGGCTGTGTCTGGGGACAACCACGAGGGTAGACTCTCCAAGAAGTATCCTAATACCACCGCTGTCACACAAGGTAACACAATGTAACACAAGATAACATAATGCAGCAAAAGGTAACACAAGGTAATGCAAAGTAACGTAACACAAGGTAATGCAAAGTAACGTAACACAAGGTAATGCAAAGTAACTTAAGATAACATAATTTTGCACAAGATAACACAATATAGCACTAATAATGACCACAATAAGATCAGTATGGCTGAGTTACAGATATTCACTATGATAATTTCAATAAATTTATTAATCTCAGATGTTTAATACTTTTTGTGAACAATTTGAAGAACACAAAAAAAAAAAACTTACGAGTTCCCCCTCTCTTTCTTTTTTAACATGAACTAAACCATTTCGAGCATGCAGAAATCCCCATGATATATGCCCTGAGAGGTGAATATCTTTCAGAACAATCAATATTCTGTGTTTGTCTGTATGTGGGTTATTACTGAGCACTGACAAGTGTTCACTACACTTTAGTTATCCATCTTGCACATGAGTTCATAGGGGTTATCTAAGCTTATTGTTCGGGTAGCATTGAAAATAGGCTAGACAAGTGTTGTTGTTAGTGGATTTAGATTTGAGAAAGACCTGCCTAGTATGGGCCAATAGGCCTGTTGCAATGTTTCTCCTTTCTTATGTTCTTGTGTATATATGATGAGAGTTTAATTCCTATTTGATGAGGGAATTAAATAATTCTTGACTGGTAGTGTACAGGTTACACACAGTCTTAATGACCCTCGTGTAGTCATTTAAACCACTTAAACCAAGTAAACCAGGAATCTCTTTTAAAGGCAGATAAACCCCAGTACCTGTGAGCATGGAAGAGAACTGGAGGGCTGGGAAGTAATGATGGTAGTAGAGGATTCGATCCATGGTGTAGAAGGGGACGTAGTGTAGAAGGTAGGCCAGGAACAGCCACTTAACAGCAAACACGATCCTCTCCTTCCTCTCTGTCAGAGAATGTTACAATGATGAGGGAGAGTGTTACAATGATGAGGGAGGGTGTAGTATGATAATGGAGAGTATGAGAGAGTGGGAGGGTGTGGGATGGTGAACGAATATAAGGAAGAAGAACTATGAAGAGAGAATGAAAATTTTTTCATAACACAAGAGAAAATAGAAACAATATGAAACAGGGCTCCCATGAACAAACTGTAAACACAGTTAAAATGATACTGATTACAATAATATAATGGCAAGAGGGACGCAGATGGTCGTGTCGGGGGGCCCCTCACATCCAGCAAAATTATTCTAGATAAAGATGTACCAGAGTGTACCGTGGTGCTAGGTGTACCTGCAAGCCTGGGTGAGGGTGTGTACCCTCGCTTGTGCTTGTAGTAGTGGTGGAGAAGCAGGAGTGGAGCCACAAACAGGAACACCAGGTTGATCCAAAATATCACAGGGTTACCCAGTAAGACGATGCGAAAGTTGACGTCATACCACACCTGTGACTGTTGATTGAAAGGCAGACACACAGTTAGCACTCAGCTCACACACTAAGGACGGTGGGTCGATCCCCGATACGGGTGGAAACATTAGGACGTATTTCCTTAAGACACCTGCTGTCCATGTTCACCTAGCAGTAGAATAAGTACCTGGGAGGAAGTGGACTGGTGTGGGTCGCATCCTGGGGACAAAATTGACCAAATTTGCCCGAAATGCTCTGCATAACAAGAGGCTTTCTACAATATAATGCCACTGATGTCAGCTAGGCCTGTATGTATCGTACATGCAGGGCCGGATTAAGAAGTCTCTGGGCCCTAGGCTATTCAGATTGGCGGGTCCCCTTTGAGTTACGGGTAAGCGAAGCGACCCCTTCCAGCTTGGGGTTGGGGGGGGGGGGGTCGGTGTGAGCCTGTTTAAGGTCTAATTAAATACATTCTGGCTATTTAGATTAAATTTAATAGGGAAAGTACATCAAGACAACCAAAACCATTTACTAACAGCCATTATAACTATCTTGTTAAATCATGCATTTTACAGAGAATAAACTCAAGACAGCATAGTATTACTAGATTAGGCTATTAAAGTAGTGACATCATGTACCTATTATATTCAGCATAACCACTACAGCACTATTATTCCCTTTATAAATCACTGACCATTATTGTTATCATTGCATCATGCATAAAGCTATCAAATCATATACTCAAGAAAGTAAAGAATTGTTAATATTCACAGGCACTTCTTAAATAAACTTTTTTCTGGATTTCATATTGGCAAAATCATCAATTATATTCTGAAAATCAATATTTCTTGTTAGATCAGACTCAATGGTCAACAAGGCTAGGTTACACAATTTGTCTTGGCTCATTGTTGAACGGAGCTGGTTTTTCACTCTTTTCAAAACAGAAAATGAACGTTCTCCTTCACAGTTAGTAGTTGGAAGTGTTAGGTAAAGGTGATACACTATGTCAACATTAGGGAATGTTTCTGAGATACCTGCATTTCTTAAATGTTTCAAAGCAGCTGAGGGCGCACATTTTTCAGGTGGAGCTTTAATCTGATTCATATACCCAGAAAAATGAATTATTTCTTCAACAAATGTGTCCTGAACATCTGCTGAAAGGTGTTGTTGCAACTTTAATGCAGCTTCTCTCAATTCTGCATCTGGCATAGTAGTAATTTTGAACAGAAATCCAAACATGTCATTGAGATTCTGGTAGATTTCTTTTCTTTTCACCAATTCAGTGAATCCAGTGAATCCAGAATGACGAAGTATGTAGCTGTCTTACATTTCTGCCTTGGTAGCAACACAATTTCATTGTCTGGCTCTTCAAAATTGCGTTTCCTCTTCCTTGACCGCTGATGATCAGCCCGGTAACTGTAGTCTTTCACCACCAGTTTAGCTTTCTCTTCAAACATTTCAAAAGCTTCATCATTGCGAAGTGAGCTTACAAATTCCACTAAGCCTGCATAGAGGTTAGCACAAGTAGCTATTTCAATTTCAATTTTCTGAAGTGTCTTGTTCGTGGCATTTAACCGTTCCAGTATACAGTCCCAAAGCACACAGAGTAAGGCCAATTCAAAATCTTCCAATTTTGATGCTAAGCTGGCTGCTTCGCTTCTTGTAGTTGCTATCTGGTCTTCATCCTCTGCTATTTGGATCAAACAGAACGTATTTCAGCAAAGCTGTCTTTCAAAGCATGTGTTGCATCATGCTGCGCTGACCACCTTGTTGTTGATAATGATTTGATGACATTTCCATGAATGGTTGACTTGAGTATACTCCACCGATGCGTTGAAGCAGAGAAAAAATTAAAGAGTGCTTGTAAAAGTCCAAAAAATGAAACTGCACCGACACAACACTCCGCAGCACATGACCCAACAAGATTAAGAGAATGTGCTGAGCAGGGCACACATTCAGCAAGTGGGTTGATTTGCTTGATACGGGCTTGCAATCCATTATATTTACCCGACATGTTACTTGCATTGTCGTAGCTCTGGCCACGGCAATCCATAATAGAGAGATCATGTTCAAGCAGAGTATCCAGTACTACATTCATCATTGTTTCTCCATCATGGCCTGAAAGAGGAATGAATTTTATAAAGCGCTCTACAGGCTTACCACTGGAGTCGACAAAGCGAACAATGAATGTCAATTGATCTGTATGTGAAATATCTGGTGTTGAATCTACACTTATTGCAAAGTATTTTGTAGTTTTCACAGCTGCTATGATGTTATTGAGGACCTTCTTAGTCATCAGTTCAATAAATTCATTGCATATAGTAGATGACATGTAAGATACAGTGCCTCTTCCTGCATTCCCAAGGCGTGACACATGATTTGCTAAGAATGGATCGAATTGTGCTAACAGTTCTATGATCCCTAGGAAATTGCCATTGTTTTCCGAACCAAAAACCTCATTTTCTCCACGGAAAGCAAGTCCTCTTAGAGCTAAGAATTTTACAACAGCAACAACTCTTTCTAGAACTTTTCTCCAATAAGTGCGCTCTTTTTCAGTTTGATTTTCCATTGAGAATCCAATAAGCCTTTTTTCTGTGCACGAAATACACTGGCTAATATGCAGCTCCTGTGAGTGGTGCTGTTTTCATGTTCCTCGAAACGCTTGGAATTTTTCCAGTCATTGAACCCCTGTGTGAAGGTATTTTATTTGGTAGAAAATAGCTTGCATGCTGAACAGTACACTTTTCCTGAGCTTTCAGAGTATACCATCCATGATCTTTTCACAGTTTCTGAATTTGCAAGCTTCCTATAAAACATAGATGACTTTAAACAACGACGACTTCCATCATCATAAATCCTTGCTGATTTCCTAAAGTCAATGTTCAGAGTTTGACTGAAGTTTTCTGCAATGAAAGCATTACGTAGAGAATCTGGGATTACATTTGGCCACGAGGCAGGATCTTTTAAGACAAATCCTGTGGATGAAATGTCCGTTGAGACACTGAGAGGAGACACAAAAGAAGTAGATGCTGGCTGAGAAATAATGGAGGGAGGGCTTCCTGTATGATCTGACGTATCTGCAGATTCAACTGTACTGGTAACATCAGAAACTGTTTTCGTGAGCATGTCTGTGATCTTCATGCAGCTTCCTATATCTTTCTTTTTCTGTTCTTCTTGAATTTTCTTCTTTCTTTTCTGTGGCCCACTCGCATAAGAACGTCCAACATCACGTTCACGAGATGCCATAATTAGAATGTATCACTGTCTGTAATCATGCAAATACAAATTTTTCATTATCAATTATTATTAATTTTTTAATTATTATTAAATTTTTTTTCTGTCAATTGGGGGGATATGGCCCTTGTAGCCCCCTTTCCTCTGGCTGCGCATCTAAAAATTCAAAACGTTACCAGAAAGGAGTCATATACAGAACTTTTACCATAGATTAGGTTAGTGATTTGGGCTACGAATATTTTACTAATTCATCCTCCTTGATCTCCAATTTACTTAAACAGAAATCATACCAAGTCCAAGAACAATGCACAATGGTATTTATATTGCCATTTTCATAACTAAACTAATCATTATGTTTTGCATGATATATGGCCTACCACCATAGATAAGGACATGAGAATTAAAGAATGCAGGGACAATTTTCAGTTTCACCCAACCAACGATTTTCTGATGTGGCTTATGTGTTTCTGGGGAAATATGTAGTAAATTAATTGATGTTCTACATCACTTCCGTCGCAACTTGAAAACTAAGTATTTGCGATGGAAGTGATGTAGAACATCAATCAATTGAGATCTGTTATTGAAATGATAAAGACTTAAAAACAGGACAAAGTGCTTTTAAAACCTACAAACGGAAGTCAGTTTGCGTTTTTAGGTTTTTCTTTATAGTATTTTTACCAAAAACGCGTCTTTACTGGTCCATGCGTCTTTACTGGTCAAGTAACCCTATCAGGTACCTCCCTTAGCATTTAGAGGCGAAAACAAACATTTATCCATACACATCAATGTCAATCAACAACACTTCAGTTAATTTGTCACAGTACAAGTCTAGATAACGTGTAATTACTACAGAAAATTGGAGAGGAATCTCCCATACTCACCCATTAGCGGGAAAGCACAGCTGTTCTGATGTAAACAAAGGTGTGTTGAGTGTTGTCATCTATGGTTAGGTTTATTTATTTTTATTTTATTTTATTTCATTATTTATTTTTGTTTTGATTAATTTTTATAAATCAATTTTACTCTCCAAACACTTGAACTTTTTAGGTAGGGACCCCTTTGCACTTGCACCATGTGCACAGTCTTGGATGAGCCCCTGAACCCCTTGGACCGAGGGGCCCCCAAATGCGCGGGGCCCTAGGCAAATGCCTAGTTTGCCTATGCGGTAATCCGGCCCTGCGTACATGTACTTGCAGAAATAAAGATTATTATTATTATTATTATTATTATTATTATTATTATTATTATTATTATTATTATTTTATTATTATTATTATCACACTGGCCGATTCCCACCAAGGCAGGGTGGCCTGAAAAAGAAAAACTTTCACCATCATTCACTCTGTCACTGTCTTGCCAGAAGGGTGCTTTACACTACAGTTTTTAAACTGCAACATTAACATCCCTCCTTCAGAGTGCAGGCACTGTACTTCCCATCTCCAGGACTCAAGTCCAGCCTGCCGGTTTCCCTGAACCCCTTCATAAATGTTACTTTGCTCACACTCCAACAGCACGTCAAGTATTAAAAACCATTTGTCTCCATTCACTCCTATCAAACACGCTCACACATGCCTGCTGGAAGTCCAAGCCCCTCGCACACAAAACCTCCTTTACCCCCTCCCTCCAACCTTTCCTAGGCCGACCCCTACCCCGCCTTCCTTCCACTACAGACTGATACACTCTTGAAGTCACTCTATTTCGCTCCATTCTCTCTACATGTCCGAACCACCTAAACAACCCTTCCTCAGCCCTCTGGACAACAGTTTTGGTAATCCCGCACCTCCTCCTAACTTCCAAACTGCGAATTCT